TTTGCGTCGTCTGCGAACCGAAACGTCGACGGCAAATAATTTTAATTTCCATTTGGAACGCAAAGCTTCTTTTATACGTTATGACGCCGTATGAGACAGTAAATACATGCAGCCATTTTTGAAATTCTAAATAAAGGCAGAAATTAATTTTTTTATCGAAGTCTTCCTTGGCGCTGCCGTCCTGACTGCTTAAGGTCAAGTGTACGAGTAAAGAAAAACAAAAGATAAGAATCATTAGCGAAAATAAGAAGGCATTCGCGTGGACTGACTTTTAATATCCTACATAGACCTTATTTAATAACGGGAGAAAAATTAAAGTTTGGATATTTTAGTGCGGCCATTTAGTTGTTTCGCCTTTTGCCCTGTTCCACATTGTATTACGGCGCTGCATAATATCATTTAGCGCGTGACTTTAACGCAGAAGTCAAATGACATAGTATTGGAAACATAGTATCAGAATAACAACCTGGTTTATCACGCATGCGATGTACATATTTGGTGCTTTAGGATCATCGGTGATGGTGTTTAATTATTTTTGTTTCTTTTAAAAGTATTCCTCGATTTTATTCGCCAGCTTGATTTTGTCCAGTGCCATATTTCGCTTACGCAAAGTTAATAAGCGCGTCTTCTAATTCGGCGGATTACGTAAAACAACTGGGAAATACACGATTGATTCAGGGGCAGGTCCCAAGTTATAAATGAAAATTCTAATTGACCACAGCTGGATCATATTCAAACAGCTATTACAAGCAGGAAATAGAGATAACAATTGAAGGGGCCTACTCTGTCTGAAGATGATCAAACGGTAACGAAAAGAAAAACAGAAGAAAGCAAAAACTATTTTAAAAGGCCGGTTAATGAGTCGAAGTCTGAGTAAACAATTGTTTCCTACTAATCCCTGGTTTAGGTGTTGCCAACACGATAAAACAACGTTAATCCCTCTAGTAATCCCGAAGAGTAACAAGCATCTAACTTCTCCTTACAACATCACACATTAATCACAGATTGAGGAAATGAGAATAAAGGGAATGATCACCAAGTGAAGAAGCTCTTGATTGGAAGACAAATTCTCTTTGTTGGCACTTTAGAAGATGTACAGAGAACAGTATGGATAATATGCAAACTGATATCTGGGTCTAAGGGGTAAAACGACGTTCTTAAAGCACAACTAAATTTTTTCATGTCAACGGCCAGACGAGGTAGAGGTGATTTTACCAGTTAGGGGATAACTTGAAGACGCCATGAAATTTTAAGGGGCAGTTTTAACGCAGTTTTATCGCAAGCAACGAAAAGCTGTTACTTTTTGGTAAACAGGAAAGCACGTGTACATTCAGACACCTGTATTCTTTGCACTTTGAATGAAAGATAAACCCTTTAAGAGGCGATATCTGTAAGAACGGTCCAGGGCATTTCTCATCGGAAAATGGTTTTGCCTCAAACTTTGCCCATTAAACTATCTTTGATAGTGAATAGATAAAACCACATTGCTTTCTGAAAATACTTAAAAAAAAAAATGAGAGAGAAATTTGGAGAGCTCTCAATAATCAAAGCTGCAAATGGCCCTTTTTTGACCTCCTGCGACATCGAAAATTCAAAAGTTGACAAACTCGCTCCTCGTAACACACTGCATGCAGCAAGAAATCGTTTACCTTCCTAATTTGTATGATATCTAAGGGGTTTGGAGAACATTTCAATTTGGACATATGTTTATTCAGAGATTCGCCATAATTTATTTAAAGACATTCATTAGACATGCAGCTTTCTGAAATTAGTGAAAAGTACTCTTTCTTTCCCGGGTGAAAAAAAAAAAAAAAAAAAAAAAAAAAAAAAGATGTTAGCGCGCCGCCGGGAGCTCTTGGGATGAGGCACTAACATTTATTTTTCTTCAATGTTTTTTTTTTCGACCTGCGCCACGGACTTCGCCGAAAAGGAGGAACTGCTCGTAGTCTTATACTGTTATCGCCGGTGGCGCTAAATAAAATCTTGTAGTTTAGCCCTGAAATGTTCCTACAGGTTTGAATAGCTCAAGCTCTCTAAACTCAAATATAAAAGAACACCAACCATTTTCCAAGAAGAGTTTCTTATTAAAACGTGGACCGATCGCTAGTCGAGACAGAATCATTTGCCAGATTTTAGCTGTTTAAAATATTTAGAGTATCAATCAATGTGTTCTAAAACCTCTTAAGGACACTCGCTGCAGTGACACTATCATAAACGGAGTGTTTAGACTGACAAAAGATTTCAAGCTAAAAGGTGACAAGCAAACGCGTTTGTGTGAAATTGAGTCCCTTGTCAACATCTGACAGATAGGAAATGGGAATTTTTTAAAGAATATTCATCGTTGCAGAAATCCTCTTGTTGAAAACTCGGCGAAACAGGAATGAATCCAATACTTGATCGCTAAGGGACCGGTCGGTAAGTTATCGCCGGGGGAGGGGGGTGGAAAGTTTGCAGGATTTTGGTTGTGTCACGATAAATTTGATAAATTTACCTAATCCCTGATAAGGCTCTGCAATATTCTTACCATCCCCCACCCTCACTGAAAGTTAACTGACAGTCAATTTTCTACACTCTCTCCTTCAAACTCCGTTGGCGACAGCTGATCCTCCTTCTCTTCTCACCAAAAACCAAGCGACCCCCCTCCCAAGAAAAGTCTTCCTTGACACCCCCCCGCGATAAATGATGACTAGTCACTTCGAACACTTTCTCGCGTCTTACTTCTCACCGGTGATTAGACCCTCTTTATTTCAATTAAAAATTCGTACTCTTTTTTAAACCGAAAAATCTCGGAAAACATAAAACAAAAAAAAAAAACATCGGTAAATTACTCCAGCCTTGCATTTATACCCTGAAAAATCGCAGGTAACAAACAATTTCAGTTTGTTCTTTGATAAATATCCTTTAAGTTTTCTTCACTTGACGCATTAAACAATCACTTATCTTGGAGGCTTCAATTTGTTATGTATTATATATCCCTGCATAAGCTAACACAGCGGTCAAATGCCTGAGCATGTGAGGATATTTTAGAGGCTAGGTAATGTGCTTTCAGGGTATAAAAACCAAGTTGTCCTATACACAACCACACGAGAGAGTTGCGGTGTCTGAAAACCTTCAACTTTTCGGTAAAGCTAAAAATAAACGGTAATTCAGCTGGAAACCCGTAATCAAATAGGCTTTCTGTTGGAAAAGTCTCGGGTTTTCTCTTTCTCTACTTTATTTACTTTTACAGATTTACCTAAACGTGTCAATGCTTTTTTAGTCGTTTCGCATAATTAGCGTGAAAACGATTGTTTCTCATGCGGGAAATTGGCACGCCGCTGACTTAATTGATCCCCTTGCGCATGCCCGATGTATGATCTCTGTGCTGCATATGCTTCATCACAGTCATCTCTCGTTACAAAATGTACCCTATTTCCTGGATGAAGATAAGTAAATTCGTCTAAGTCAATAGTTCCCATGGCTTAAGATTGGGTATTGACAGCCGCAGTGCTGGTCAAAGAGCCATATATTTTAAATTCCACAAGGTTAAATTCTCAACAACTTGTAACAAATCTAGTTTTACCAATGGTGTATTAATCACGGTGACCCTTGTTGGCACAGTGGTGCAAAATGACTAAGACAATTCATATAAGTTAATAATTTACATCAATATCATACCAGTGCTATGCGGTGTACTAAGACTCATTATCCTAGCCACCCTTTTCATCTTTCTCATTAATATAACAATTAAATATGTGATGATCTCTAAAAAACAAGCGAGCCAGCTCCCGCATGTAAAAATTTCCCTATTCTTCCAAATATTTCGGAATTACAATGTCACAGAAATGAAGATAAAAGTAGCAATCAAAAGGCCTATTTAATTCTTGTGCTTTCCTAAAGGAAGCAATGGTTTCCAGATCTCCTGCAGGGCTCTCCAGATCCGACCAGCTCTGATGTCACTTGAAATGCATTTCTAAACTCGTCGATGTTGACATAGGCACCCTGGATTCACAAGAATAAAAAATGCATTTGCGTTTTAGAAAAGTCCCAGAATACTCCTACTTAAGGCTCTGTATTACAGTGGCCTACGATTTTCCTCTAGGAGACCAACCTTATCGTTCTCCCTTAAAAAACCATGCGTCTGAATATAATGACAAAAGTATATACTTCCATGAGCACGCATCATATTTTTTATTCTTCCAGGACAGACCAGGAAAGCTTAGTAGGAAAGTTACAGGGGAGGGGATAGGCAAGATCTTTAACCCCTCAATCCCTGAGAGTGACAAGTATCTAATTTCTCCTTACATCATCACTGCTGAATCACACATTAAGGTCATGAGAACATAGGAAATGATCACCAACTAAAGAAGCTCTTGATTGTTACACAAATTCTCCTTGTCAGCTTCATAGGAAATGTATAGAACAGTGTGGAGAAGATACATACCGATTTAGGGTGTAAGGGGTCACACGGCCTACGCGCTTGAAACTAAGAGCGCTGTTTTTCACGATTCTTACCTTAAAGTGCCTAACACCGCCATTTAAATTAAAAGAGTTTCTTCCGTGAAGAATACGCCGATTGTTGAAACATACTAAGTCTCCTTGATGCAACCTCACCGATTTCTACATGAAAAACAGACAAACTTTTAATCTACTGTTTCCCCTAAAATTGCTCCTAGCGAAAAATCAACAACAATAACAACGAACAGAGGTCTATCGCCACCCGTAAGACCTCTCACCTCCGTCTATTCAGTCTGTGAGCAAGCTCTTGAGTTTGGCTTGCGCCTCAAGACACGGCCGCAAATAACACTATCGGGCACTAACCGTTTATGGAAAAAGTAACTGAAATCCCTGGAAATAGCTCATCTAGACAAGGATGAACATTACTAGAGACTTACTACAAGGGTTTAGGTAACTTTTTTCAAACTTCGTCTGTTTTATTTCTTGTTCATCCTCAGTAACCCAGCTATCACATGTGAGAGTCATGCTATTGAAAGAAATTTTACCCATGCAATCTAGAATCGCGCGATCGAAAACGGATGTTATAACGCTGCTTTTAGTGCTGATTTACTTTAAAATGCATTTACCTGTAAAGGAGATTCTTCCATCATCTTTGAAAATAATCTATAAGCTCTATAATACGGTTCAACATCTTCCTGTAACAACGAACCAATAGGAATTCAATAGCCGGTGTTATTATAAAGTCTCATTCCCACGACATGTCAATCATTTCATTCGAAAAGTCAATCTTTTCTAAATAATTGTAATAATTATAAAACTCAGAATAATCAAGCCGCTGATTCTTACCTCCGGAACTGACAAGGGACCCTCAAAAGGTGGCGCCCAAGTTACGGCCACAATCTAGAAAATGAAAACGTTGGAGGAAAAGTGCTCACTTTGGGTATTTAAAAACAAACAACCCATTCCAGCATTATCTGCAAGGGTAAAATTTCAAGTTGGATTACAACAGGTACGATACCTCTTTATCTGGACTGAGAACAATGTGCGGTCTCTTGTAAACTAACTTGACTGGATAATCCCTTGATAAGAAAACACCAAAACCAAACATAGAAATAAAAACAAATGGATGCAAATCATTCCTTACAAATCATCGACGAACAATTAATTCAATGTTGTGTTTCCCACAAGTATTTGCCATGAGGAAGCATCTTTTCAAGGCAATGTGTTTGAGGGAAAATAACGTTAAATTTTAGGGTCGGCTAACACGAGGACGCAAGAGAAAAACCAATCATTTTGAAGCGCCGTTTTCAACAGTGAAAGAAGTGCTTGCCACTACCTACAATGTGTAGTAGAGAAGGCATGGCGAAAGTACTCTAGAACTATCTTTAGTTTTGATGGTAATTTTGTTCTTTACTCCAAATTGGTGAATCATCAGTGTATAAAATCGCCAACGTACGGCTGACCTGTACTGTTTACGTATCTCTGGAAGGTCTGGGAATCGAACCCAGCACCACTCTTCACTTCAAAAGTCCTTATTAACTCCTTGTGATATTTTCCAGTGATCTTATCGGCCGTTGTAGTATAATCGTATAAGTTTTAGCACACTCACTGAATATTAAGCATATCGTCTATTCTTGTGGCAACCGAATCGTAACAGTTCATCATTTACCGCTGGGACTGTTATACACAAGCGTTCTATATTAAAGCGGTGATATACCTTTCAAAATGTATCTTCTGAAATGTTCCTGGAATTCTCACAAGATCATCAAATTCTTTAGGAAATTGTTTCCTGAATTCCTCAGCAACGTAAAAGGCATCTAGAAATAAACTTTCCCCACCTTCGATATCAGAATCAAACCTGCGCAAATATAAAAAAAAAAGAAGCAGAACAACTATGCACCTGACAAACTCACAATCTACACATTACCGAGCCGTCTGTTAAGTTTAAAATAATTCATAGATAGCTTGCTAAAAAAATAAAATTGCACACCACGGAAAACCGTGTACTGCTTTTAATCCAAAAGAAACAACAGTGAAGGCGCTTGGCACGAAAGCAAGTAACAAGCGCGCAAGAGACTCTGGGACGCGTGATTTCGAGCTTGCGCGTTTTGGTCATGGTCTCAATCACTCACGCTCGGTCAAATCGAGTGCCCGCAATGCGTGCCAATAGACCTGTCATTACATCTTGTCTTACCTGAGGCAGTGCAAAAGCTGTAGTCCAGGTGGAGACTCGTAATAAGCAAGATCTATGTGGTAACTAAGGCCTACACTGGAATATGCAATATTGATTGGATTTGGGGTGGAAACCACGTCAAACATCTGCGACAATAGAGTACAAAAAAAATAACACATCTCATTGAATACGTGAATAAATGAAAGCATATCTGAGCAAAATAGCGTAGTTTTCAAGATTCCCAGTGAGCAGGTAAAGTTCAAATCAGCGAGACTAGAAGACCAACACAAGGGAGGATTAAAAGCACAATAGAGACATCTGACTCTCGAAGACACAGACCTCCGCCACTTCGACACTGGAGACCGCCTTCTCCAAACGAAGTACAAACAAGCAGGGTGAAAGAAGCGCTCTATAATCTCCACCAACTTCAAGGGTGACAGTGGAATTGAAATTTAAGAAGCATGGATACTAATGGTGAAAAACAACAACAGGAGAGCCAAGCGACAGCGGACCGCTCTTAAAATACATCCTCGAAATGAGTCAATTACAGCTGTCAAATACCATCCAATCACAGCTGTCGAATACTAGCCAATCACAGCTGTTGAATACTAGCCAACACAGCTGTTGAATATCAGCCAATCAGCACTGATGCATATTCAGTCGACTTTATCTCCAAAAGAAGACTATCGGTGTACAGTCGAAAAACAGCGATACACATTGGAACTGGACGTGCAAATAGTGATCATTACTATTTAACTTAATTCTGTTTTTTTCTTCTTCATGAAAATGTCAGTCTATGTTTATGGTCAGCCACCAAGTCTCTTTGTTAACCTACTTTTCCATAAATGGTCTCTTGTATCGGTCCAATTAGTCTTCCAACCTGAAATGTCAGAGAAGAATCGGATCATCAGTAGTTAATTAATAAACTAAAAAATCAGTGAAGAAGAAATTTATTTTAGCGCGTTACACGGAACTCTGGGAGTGAGGAAAACAAAATTACTTTTCGTGCACCTCACTGCGCATGCCAGAGTTCCGCGCGGCATGCTTACATCAGATCTCTTTTTTCACTGATTTTTTTTAACTCTCGCGACGGACTTCGTCGAAAAGGAGGGACTACTTGCAGTCTCAGTAATGAAATACAAAAGATCAAATGGCACACAAACCTTTAACACATTTTCCTCATCGTCATGAGGAACATTTTTAACTAACGAAACACCATGGTCACTTAGCTGAGACAGCATTCTGTTGAAAGGACGAGGATAAACCCTGAGATTAAATATACACGACCAAACTTCCTAATCATAAAAGTCTCACAGAAAGAGAAGGTAAAAAAAATATTAGTCTCAAAGACATTAAGCATTTAGAGAAAGATGTTCTTTGTCTTGTCACGAGCGTGGGACAAAGAAAACATTCTGAGTTTTCATGAGGAATCGAACCTCAGACCTTCGTATTCCGCGCTCCGATGCTCTACTACTAAGCCACAGGCACTCTAGGATGAGGGAGGTCTCACAAACATTGGGCACTTATTTTCTACAGACAAAGTATTCCTACATGTTCGTCAGTTTTTCCTCAGCTGCAGCTTATAGACCTAATACTTGTCAAAAATAGGTAACGGTAGCTTTTCTTTTTAAAAGCTTTTTTGAGCCGAGCAATACATACATGTGCGGAACTTACTTCCAAAGACCTTCCCTGGATTCCATAATGGTACTATATTCAACCTCTGGCAAACTGTGCTGTAAGAGAGAGTGAAACATGTATATAAGATTGCAGAGCACAATAGGATGAACTGTTACTAATGCAAGCAATTAAGGCTCACACGGAAGTACCTCGCCAATATGGGGTTGAGTTTTTCTTCTTTTGTTGTCTAATTTTCTGGCCACTTCAGAGTAACAATTTTCTCTCAGCCACTGTAAGTTGAGTACACCTTGGTGGTCTCTTTCATTCTCCCATTTCACTTCAAGATTTTCCTTATTTTCTGCAAAATATAGAAAAGAATGCTGATAAATTTAATTTTACACACAAAAATAAAGGTTGAGCAGGTCTTATTTAGACACGGTGGCCCTTTCAGTACTAGGCTAGTATTAACAGGGACTACAATTAGTGCCCAAAATATGTAATTTCAATGTACGATCTTTTCCCTTACTTTCATATCTACTCATCCTGACATGAGAGGTTTTGGGAGAATGATACAGTTACGCAAACCAGAAACACAAACATGAATAAAGTCCCCTTATGATTTTACATTCAACCCCTCTTAAAAAATATTTGATGTGAGGCTGAGATGTTTTAGCTGTGTTAAACCCTTTTCGACCAAATAGTGATAAGTATCTTGTTTCTCCCAAAATTATCACCCCAAATCACACATTACGGTCATGAGAATAAAGGAATTGATCACAGACTCAAGAGGCTCCTCACCGTTAGACAAATTCTACCTGTAGGCACCTTAGCAATTGTATAGAGAACAGTACGGAGAATATGCATACTGATGTTAAGGTGTAAAGTTTTTTTTTTTTTTTAGTTTTTCCATAATTTGTCCCAAGATCTGATTGATAATTCTCCCCTCTAGCTGCTACACATTTCCTTGTAAATTAGTTAATGAGAATTGAGTGTTAATTAGATAGGTCTAGATAACAACTTCTGCCTGATATGTTTGAGGTTTCTCATTACCTGTTTGCTGGATAATGTATGAATATAATAGGAAGAAGTTACATGTGAATTACTTGTGGGAGTTAAAGGGTTACATATGACTACCATTGTTTTTCATCAGCGCACAATATGTCCAACCAAAAACATGGAAATGTAATGAAAGTCAGGAAAACTGAGAACTTGTTATCATCACTTATCATGACTAATAGTATTTATTCAGTTAATCAAGTAGGTTGAAAGGACAAACATATTGACAGACCAATAGACAAGGATATGGAATAAAGGTCAAAAAAATTACTCGATCATACAACTTATATTTGCAACACTATGCACATTTATATGCACATACATCTTAAATCAAAACAATAAAAAGGGGAACTTTTATCTGAAAAACTGCCTGTTTACTGCAATTAGAAAAAGTTTTCCCTAATAATTCATGTACAGGAACTTACTAGAAAGTGAGAAATCTGAGATTTCAAGTGGTTCTGGAATGGAAAGGGTGTCAATGGTCCTCTGGCCACTGTGTGACTGCTTGCAGTGTTCACACTGGCAAGAAAACCTTAACCAGCTGTTATGAAACCTGATTAAAGTAAACATAACAAAACAAGTCAAAAAAATTAGCTTTAGATAATGGCTCACAATTATTATGTTTGAACACAAGCCATTAATGAGCTTAAAGAAATCATGAAATAATTTTAAAAGAAAGTGAAACAAATTCTGTTTTGATTTGACCACTGGCTCATGGTTTACAAACTTTCCTTGTGCTCTCCCAACATCCTGTATGCTTTTTTATGCTTGTAAAGCAATAGAAAGTGTGGTTAATTTGCTGCTTAAAAAACTCATTACTTTAGATCAAATTTAATGTGAATCACCATTATTAACCTTTACACCCCAACATTCATATCCTCATTTTGAATACTGTACTCTATCAGTTTCCTAAGGTGCTAGCAAGAAGAATTTGTTTTAAGACAATCAAGAGCTTCCTTTAAGGAAGTTAGTAGATGATCATTTCCATTAATCTTGTGACCTGAATATATGATTCAGGGGTGAAATTCTTAAAAAGGAATTACATGTAGACGCTTCTTTCTCTTACAAGTGAAGGGTTAACAGAGGCATATATGAAGCTACAGGATTTTTCAATGGGAGGTCACATCTGAGGATTTCTGCATGCCTTACATGAAGGGGCATATACCACTGTCCTAATTTATCAGCGGGCTCATATTCATGCAGGGAGAATTACATGAAAATGCAAGTGCCAAGGAATGGAGAATCTAGCACAAGATAAGATTTACGTCAAGTAGATTTACAAGCACCTTCATACCTCCCAACTACACCACTGTATAAGTCAAAGCTACAGTGTACAATGTGCTCATGAACTGAAGCCATAATAATACATTTAACTTGTCTACTTGCCTAGATTTATGTCCATCATTCCATTCTATTTCTAAACAATCTTCAGACACCAGAGCTTTAATGTAATTTACACTGGATGTGGTCTGTAAACCAAATATATGTCATGGGCAATGATTAGTTTTAGCTAAAGAATTTCATAATAATAATAGGCCTAATAAAAAAAAAGGAACTTTTAAGTTCTCATGATAATTATGATAGAGCTTTCATATGTATAGATGTACAGATGTATAGATGCAATCTCTTCTTCCACTCCGCAAAACCTCCTATGACCAAAATGTTATTTCTGACTGCCTTCTTATGGTTCAAATTACTGCAAGTTGGAATTTGAGGAAGTGGGGACTTTTTGGAACCCTGAGAAACAACTGAGCCAGTCCAAAGTTGGGAACATGTGGCTGCTTAATCTCAACCATAAATAAAAGGGTTTACAACATCCCCTGCTAACCTCACATTTAAACTACAAGAGACAGCTGCCCTTCATGTTATCATTGATATCTGCGAGGACTAAAACATCTTCCCAACTGTAAATATCATTCAACAAGTTGAATCTTCCTTTCTTTGAAATTTAGTCTGGTGCACCAAACCTTGACCTAACCCACAACAAAAACAGCCCTTTCACAGCTAAGCAGCAATTTTCTAAACAGTAAAAGACCACATAACTGTAGGGGAAACATTTTAAGTGAAATAAAACTTTGATCACACAAGGGAAATATTTATCATTTATCAAGTAATCACTAACCTTTGTTCTCTTCCAGATAAAATGACAAAGAGGTTGCCTAAGACTTGCTCTCAAAAGCATGACTGACCCTGTTTTGAGGATGATCAGAAGTAATAAAAATGAATTGACACACTGTGAGGCAGTTGTATTCAGTTCAACAGTAGAGAAGTACATGCATCACATACAGTGATGATGACTTCAGCTCTCAGTACTGCACTCATTCAGACAATCAGACTACATTATGAACACTATCACACCACACACAATGTTTAAAATTTTTTTACCATATGTTTAAGCTTTCAGATTTTGTAAACTCAGAATCAAATTGGCAGTGGGGCTGCTTATAACTATATATGTAGTTAAAAGCTAAATATGTTTGTATGGCTCTCCCTTTTAAGAAGTAATTTTCAGCTCACAGTAACTCTACATGAAGTTTTTCCTTTGTTACCTTACATCTATCCCTTAAGGTCTAATTATGCCCAAACATTAAAAAAACACTACTGCATTAGTGCAGAAAAAGAGAAAAATCAAAAACACCACCACCAAAATTATATTTTCTAAGTAAGCACGATAATGGATAAAGCTAAAGGAAATAGATTGGATTTACCACTGATTGTCGAGGTTAACCCTTAAACCTGTAAGATTGACTAGTTTCTAATTTCTCCTTATAATATCACCCTTGAATCAGACAGTAAGGTAATGAGAATAGAGGACATGATCCCCAAGTAAAGCATCTCTTGATTATCAAACAAATTCTCTTTGTCAGCACCTCAGGAAATGTATAG